AGAAGGTATTGTAAGAAATATGCCAGAAAAAGGGCTAATATCCCCAATATATAAAGACATTTTTAAATAGAGTAATAAAAGATTTTACAAATTCAATAAAACATGAGTCAATGACAGACAGTCCAAAAAAAGATACAAAAATCACCCTCACTCATAATAAGACAAATGTAAATTAAAACTACGCTGACATACCATTTCTCACTCATTATGTTGGAAAAAGTTCAGGTAAATTGGCACTTTCATATATTGCTGGTGGGAATGCAAAATGATACAACCTTTACAGAAGAGAATTTGGCAATATGTAGTACACATGGATTTACTCTTTGATCTAGCAATCCCACTTCCAGGAATTTACTCTAAAGATAGACCTCCTAAAATATAAAAACACAAGGTTACTTATTGTAGCATTATTTATAATTGCAAAATATTGGATACTACCTAAACAGCCAAGCATCAGATTTGAAGTAAATAAACTATGATACATCTACACAATGGAGTACTATGCAGCTGTAAAAAAGAATGAAGATCTCTACAAGTCCATGCAAAGTGATCTCCAGAAGATACTGTTAACTGAAAAAAATAAAATGCAAAACAGCATGTACAGTATGTTCACTTTGGAGAAAGAAAAGAGAAATAAGAAAACATAGGGCTGGCCCCATGGCTTAGCGGTTGAGTACGTGTGCTCCGCTACTGGCGGCCCGGGTTCGGATCCCAGGCGTGCACCGACGCACCGCTTCTCCGGCCATGCTGAGGCCGTGTCCCACATACAGCAACTAGAAGGATGTCCAGCTACGACATACGACTATCTACTGGGGCTTTGGGGGAAAATAAATAAATAAATAAATAAATAAAAAACAAAAAAAACCCCATACATTTATCTGCTTATTTTTGTAGAAAGAAACACAAGAAGAATAAATCAGAAAACAAAAAAATTGTATACATATAACGGGTGGTAGGAAAAAGGATTGAAAAGATAGGGGAGAGTGGTATCTCTCCGAGTATACCTTTTCATATGGTTTCGATTTTTGGAAGCATTATTAGTCTACATAATTTCAAAAGCAAAATGAAGTCATCAATAGTGGAAGGAAAAATAAACTAAAACTAGAAATAGAAGAAAACGAATGCAAAAGACGACATGGAGACACAGGGAGGAGAAGACTGACCATCCACAAGCCAAGGAGAGGCCTCAGGGGAAGCCAACCCTAGTGTTCCAAGCACCCACTGTGCGTTCAGAACTGCCTGAGGCTCGGAGGACGCAAGGAGAATGCCTGCTGCGGGCGCTGCCCGGAGACATACTGCTCTTGGAGTGAGGAATGTGATGTGATGACCCCAGGGCAGAGAGTCTGTGCTGATAGCCATCATCAATGACAACTGAAAGATCTGGGTAGAGGGTGTTGCTCCCTCTTTGATGCATACCAAGTGAAACAAAAGACTGCCAGGAACTAACACCAGAGAGATGACCCCACCCTGGGACCAGATGCCTCCCACGCCTGGAGACCAGCCCTCTATATAACTGGCCTGTAGTCTTTGTTCTGTAAGATGGTTCTTTCAGACATAGTCGGCCATCCTCCCCCTTGCTAGCAAGCTGTAATAAACTGCCCTTTCTCTGCCACCGTCAAAAAAAAAAAAAAAAAAGAAAGAAAATGAACGCAAGTGCATTACAAATGATTAACGTAAAACCACTGACGTGGGATAGGGTGGGATGAGAGAACTAATCCAAGTAAGTTTTGCACATAGTACTTTGACTTTCAACCCTCAATCTAGGGGAGAAAAACTACAAACAAGGCTTGAATCCTTTTTAGTAGGTTTGCTTTTGTAATTATAGGAATGTAGCAATTCTGAAACTATTTTATGTGCAATGTAAGTAAATGCGTTGTTGCTATTAGGAAATAAGGTTCTCACTGTTGAACAAGGCAGATACAAATATGAAATGGGGAAGGCAACAAAGAACATGTGGAATTGGATTGAAATTGTAAGTACCAATATTCATGACTTCTTATAATTTTATTTATTTATTTATTTTTCCCCCAAAGCCCCAGTAGATAGCTGTATGTCATAGTTGCACATCCTTCTAGTTGCTGTATGTGGGACGCGGC